TAAAGTCTACTGACAACAGAAACTGTAAAGTCTACTGACAAGTATAGGATTTTGACTTGCCATTGCTTTTACAGGAAAAATAATTCATAAAATAAGAGAAATACAAAAGAGACTTTATTTTGGCCTGTTTTCTCTAGTAAATATCAAAGAACCTGTAGAGTTTCTGTTTCCAGAACACCTTGCAGTATCTATAATCAAAAGACTTAATATACTTAGAAAAAAACTTTCATCATTTCTTATATTGATATAAGAAAATAAAGTGAAGTACATTAATTGATGATTTTTACCTTTCATTGAAATAAAGTAATCACAGACATGCTTGTTAGTTTCTAGCGGAGATAATGTGTCTGTTTATCAGACAATAAAACAAGACTGAGGAACCCTCCATTTCCTGATACAATTTGTACAGTACTGTACTAACTTTAACTTTAATGTGTTGTAAAACTGTATTACATCCCCAGTAAATGTATTACATCTCCAGTAAATGTATTACATCTCCAGTAAATGTATTACATCTCCAGTAAATGTATTACACATCCAGAAACTGTATTACATCCCTAGTGACTGTATTACATCCCTAGTAACTGTATTACATCCCTAGTGACTGTATTACATCCCTAGTAACTGTATTACATCCCTAGTGACTGTATTACATCCCAGTGACTGTATTACATCCCTAGTAACTGTATTACATCCCTAGTGACTGTATTACATCCCTAGTGATTGTATTACATCCCTAGTGACTGTATTACATCCCTAGTAACTGTATTACATCCCTAGTGACTATTACATCCATAGTGACTGTATTACATCCCTAGTAACTGTATTACATCCCTAGTGACTGTATTACATCCCTAGTGACTGTATTACATCCCTAGTGACTGTATTACTTACATCCCTAGTGACTGTATTACTTACATCCCTAGTGACTGTATTACATCCCTAGTGACTGTACTACATCCCTGGTGACTGTATTACATCCCTAGTAACTGTATTACATCCCTAGTGACTGTATTACATCCCTAGTAACTGTATTACATCCCTAGTGACTGTATTACATCCCAGTGACTGTATTACATCCCTAGTAACTGTATTACATCCCTAGTGACTGTATTACATCCCTAGTGATTGTATTACATCCCTAGTGACTGTATTACATCCCTAGTAACTGTATTACATCCCTAGTGACTATTACATCCATAGTGACTGTATTACATCCCTAGTGACTGTATTACATCCCTAGTGACTGTATTACATCCCTAGTGACTGTATTACTTACATCCCTAGTGACTGTATTACATCCCTAGTGACTGTATTACATCCCTAGTGACTGTACTACATCCCTGGTGACTGTATTACATCCCTAGTAACTGTATTACATCCCTAGTGACTGTATTACATCCCAGTGACTGTATTACATCCCTAGTAACTGTATTACATCCCTAGTGACTGTATTACATCCCTAGTGACTGTATTACATCCCTAGTGACTGTATTACATCCCTAGTGAGTGTATTACATCCCTAGTAATTGTATTACATCCCTAGTGATTGTATTACATCCCTAGTGACTGTATTATTTACATCCCTAGTGACTGTATTACATCCCTAGTGACTGTATTACATCCCTAGTGACTGTATTACATCCCAGTGACTGTATTACATCCCTAGTAACTGTATTACATCCCTAGTGACTGTATTACATCCCTAGTGATTGTATTACATCCCTAGTGACTGTATTATATCCCTAGTAACTGTATTACATCCCTAGTGACTGTATTACATCCCTAGTGACTGTATTACATCCCTAGTGATTGTATTACATCCCTAGTGACTGTATTACATCCCTAGTGACTGTATTACATCCCTAGTGACTGTATTACATCCCTAGTGAGTGTATTACATCCCTAGTAATTGTATTACATCCCTAGTGATTGTATTACATCCCTAGTGACTGTATTACATCCCTAGTGACTGTATTACATCCCTAGTGACTGTATTACATCCCTAGTGACTGTATTACATCCCAGTGACTGTATTACATCCCTAGTAACTGTATTATTTACATCCCTAGTGACTGTATTACATCCCTAGTGACTGTACTACATTCCTAGTGACTGTATTACATCCCTAGTGACTGTATTACATCCCTAGTGACTGTATTACATCCCAGTGACTGTATTACATCCCTAGTAACTGTATTACATCCCTAGTGACTGTATTACATCCCTAGTGATTGTATTACATCCCTAGTGACTGTATTATATCCCTAGTAACTGTATTACATCCCTAGTGACTGTATTACATCCCTAGTGACTGTATTACATCCCTAGTGACTGTATTACATCCCTAGTGACTGTATTACATCCCTAGTAATTGTATTACATCCCTAGTGATTGTATTACATCCCTAGTGACTGTATTATTTACATCCCTAGTGACTGTATTACATCCCTAGTGACTGTATTACATCCCTAGTGACTGTACTACATTCCTAGTGACTGTATTACATCCCTAGTGACTGTATTACATCCCTAGTGACTGTATTACATCCCAGTGACTGTATTACATCCCTAGTAACTGTATTACATCCCTAGTGACTGTATTACATCCCTAGTGATTGTATTACATCCCTAGTGACTGTATTATATCCCTAGTAACTGTATTACATCCCTAGTGACTGTATTACATCCCAGTGACTGTATTACATCCCTAGTAACTGTATTACATCCCTAGTGACTGTATTACATCCCTAGTGATTGTATTACATCCCTAGTGACTGTATTATATCCCTAGTAACTGTATTACATCCCTAGTGACTGTATTACATCCCTAGTGACTGTATTACATCCCTAGTGATTGTATTACATCCCTAGTGACTGTATTACATCCCTAGTAATTGTATTACATCCCTAGTGATTGTATTACATCCCTAGTGACTGTAATACATCCCTAGTAATTTTATTACATCCCTAGTGACTGTATTACATCCCTAGTGACTGTATTACATCCCTAGTGATTGTATTACATCCCTAGTGACTGTATTACATCCCTAGTAATTTTATTACATCTCCAGTAATTATATTATGCACCAAGTGATTTTATCCTTTGTAAAAGTAATGTATCTAATGAGCTCTGAAGTATAAATAGGAAATCAGTGTAACAAAACTTTTAGTTACAAGTTGATTAATGTACTGAGGTATTAGCTGTGTGTTATGTTTAAGTGCTTTGTGCCTTGTTTGAGCAGCAAAAGTCTTATTTTTATTTCTGGAAATTATATCATTTTTACAGTTTCATTGAGCACATCACTGTGTTTTACAAGATCATGGTAACAGACTCCAATACTTTTGTTCAACAACTTCATATTGTCATAATTGATAACATGTGAAAACCCTTAAAGCAAAATATAATTCATAAATGTACAATCCTGAAAAAGTCCTATTCCATTTTTTCAACAATTTTGGTAAAAAGTATGTCAAAAGAAGATCCATGAAAAAGTTAAAAAAAAATAAAGCTCACCTGCAATATATATAGGAATAATATAATGAACAAAAGATTATGTTGAAATCACAACATTTAAGAAAAAAAGAGAGAGAACTTAAATAAATTCAATGTAAATCTTAAACACTTGCCACTTTCAGAGCCATATTTGTACAGGTATAGGGTCATTTAATTAGATGATACACCTGCTATTTGTATGTACATCTTCGTATACACAGCATAAATCTATTACTTTAAAATCTTCAAGCAATTATCTGGTCTAACAGATTTAGAACTCCAGCAACACATTTGTTCTAAATTATTATAAGACTCAACTCAAGCAATATCAAATCCCCTTCCCTGTAACTACAAATAGAAGCAAAATGCAAACGTTCTTGTGATACAGAAGAATCAAGGTTATGATATGAATAGAAGAAAACCTATGTTGTGTGTAAAACATCACAATAAATCTATATAAATTCATTAATTCAAAACTCATACAAATACACTGCCATTTTGTAAATTTTGATGAGTCTCATTATTTAGAGACATTGAGGATTCCCAAAACAGGAAAGTGTATTGACACAGGAAACGCATGCATCCAAGATCTATCATACAAGTCCCAAATATCACTGGAACAGTTTCAACAAAACAAGCACTTAAAATTGTATTAAGTATATTAGAATAGATTCTCAATTTGCATTTAAAGCTATAGAAATGAAGATATATGTGTATACATGTTTAGTTTCATTAGTTTCTATCATGGAAATAACTGAATTACAATTATTATATACAGAAGAATACATCTTAGAGTCTCGGCAGCCATTCTCTTCCTCTAACAGTGTTGGAGTTTCCAGAAAGAAAGTTTGAATACATGTGTTAACAAAGAAACATTAATCAATAACAACACAATTTGGCTGATATCATAATATGCAACAAAAGAATAATTATGGGTATGTAATTATTTTATGTATCGGTGTTGTGAAAATTCCTTCATGTTCACCTTTAAGTATAACTGATATGTTTGTAAAGCATTTCTGAAGTTTCTTTGTATGAATGCCAACTCAACACATTGTAACATAATGAAAAACAGTTATTGAAATTAAAAGGATTCATGGCAAACACCTGCATGCTGTTGTTCAAAGCTACAAATTTGAAATGGAACATTTTATATAAATATGTACAATGTCAAACTTCTATCTAGAATATTCAAAATAACAATGAAAATAAGAACTTCAATCATTAGTACATTCAAGTTGATCATCAATGACATAAAAATACATAAAAAAAGCAAAAAAGATATACAAAATATCAAATATTTTGAAACTTTCAATAACAACTTAATTAAGCTCATCGATTTCACCTATATTGGCAGTGTAAAAAGCACAGCATTCAATGAGATCACAAACAAGTAAATACAACTGTAAGATTGAGTAGCAACTACATAACACATATACAGATACAGATTCCCATTTGATGAGAACATTTCCTGGACCAGTGAAGTCACAGACCAGTAGCTACTGTCAGTAGTGATGGCCCCTCATTATATGAGAGTAAAAGCCATACTTGTTGCCACAATGTTTGCCACAGACATTACAGACAAATGGATCTGTGTGACTGTGGCATCCGATGTGAATTGAAAAGAGAACCTCATCATCAAACGTGATACCACAGTGATTGCATCTGTTCTCTGTAAGTTGAAAGTTTTGCTGCTCTGTAAAGCTTGCCTCTCCTGGCAGCGAACGAGATCTTTGATTCAAACACCGACCTGATGTCATGATCTCACACTGTACTCCACGCTCAACACAACTTGCTGACAATGTTTGTGGGGTGTCACTAACAATGCTTGACTCTGTTTTGATGATAGGTATAGAACATTGAATGCCTACACTGGACATTTCCATTTTAACAGTGGTGTTTACAGTGTCGTCCACACTGGCTGTTGTCCTTACTTCTATACTTGCCCTGTCCCCTCTTTGTGAGTGGCCAGAGTCAGCAGACAATGTTTGTCTTATTTCAGCAGATGTTGCCACCTCATTACATTCCATAACCATGCTACCATCTTCCACCTCTGAGTAACTTCGAGAGAAGGGATGCAGCTCTAACCGACGTTCTTGGTCTGACAAAAACTGATGTCGTGGAGGAGGTGCAGTACTGGACACATCTGCAGTCTCAGGAGTGTCCGGGTGATCAGGGGGCTCAACTTTCACCTTGACATGACCTTGAAGTGTCTGCATGCCCACTTGTATAGGAGAATGTGCTACACGTATGTGTTGCTGCTGCTGTTGTTGATGCTGCTGTTGTTGTTGTTGTTGTTGATGCTGCTGTGAGGGATCAGCTGCCATGTAAAAGCCTGATGAGGATATGGTGCTGCTTGGTGTTGGCATGGAAACGGTCTGAGGATTGTTCATAATGGAGGATACAATGGATCGAAGGTAATTAGAAGCCATGTGAGATTCATCAACTGTTCGTCTAACTGGGGCAGCATAGCTTGGGTACTGTCCTAAACACTGACCTTGAAGGGGTTGGGCAGGTTGATGAGTGTAGTGTACTGGTGTTGAATGAATTCCTCTTAGAAGTGAGTGGAGAGCTGTGGTTGCAGCCATACTTTGAGGGGCAGTGGATGTGGGGATGTGACCAGGATTCAAGTCAACATGGCCTAGCCTGTACTTAAATTGAGCAGTGTCGTAGCCAGAGGGTCTGTATGGACTGGTCTGAAATTGGTAGTTTGGACCAATCTGTTCATTGTGTACTTGGCTGTAGTGCTCACGGAACTTTCGAGGAAGTATTGTAGAGTAGGTACATTTCTCACACTTGAGTACGCTGACTGGGTTGTTGCCGATATGCAGTCTTCTATGTCTACGAAAGTTGCTCTTGTCATTAGTTGAATAGTCACAAAGAGGACATTTCAGTGCCTTTACACCTGAAAGTCAAATTACATCTAAAATTACAGGGTAAATAAAATCATGTTAAGTTCCAAACCTTGTTTTACTGATGTCGTCAGATTAACCTACAACTGTTACATCTCAAATAGTGGTTACAAATAATCATAAGGAAATGATAATGAAAATTCACAAAATTTAGCAAAATACAATGAACCTAAGCATTACCAGTCATCTCCCTACAACATACTGGGATGCCTGACTTCAATAGTGTCAAAATTTGAGGTTTCAATAAATAACATGTTGTAAAAATGATGTCAATAATTTTTGGTGGTCTTTGTATAGAAATGGCCTTTAACACAAGTTTGAATGTATATCTAAACTTGTGTCAGTTTGAATACTGTACCTCCATGTCTGGGCATGTGGAGCTGCAGTTGTGTATAGGTGGTAGCTGTGAAATTACAAAGCCGACATTTATAAGTCTTGTACTGTGTCTTTGTCCCGTTGTCATAGGCAATCATCTCCGGTGAGGAGTCTGGTAGGGTATATGTGGCATCCTCACCATGGTCTGTTGTGTCAATGTTAATGGGTTCATACTTTCTTGGGTCATCCATATCACCAGTGATTATGTAGGAGCTGCCATCTTCGCTGTGTGAGAATTCTCGATCAGACATAATGATTGGAGGAGGAGAGGAGCTATGGGTTGACAGAGACAGGGAGGGAGAGGTGGCAAAACGTGACTGGAGTGGGGACTGGCCAGGGGACTGAGAAACTGGCTGTCGCTCCACAGAAATCATTGGGTCAGAGTGACGCCGTATTTGAGGGGGAACTGCTGCCATTGCAGATGTTGAACTGGCCATGTGTTGTGCATGAATATTATCAGCTAGTGAGACTTGGGGGTCATCAATGTTTGTAACATCGATATCTGAGTTACCAGTGGACACATCTCGAGACACTATTGCACTGGCCATGATGAGATGAGAAATGGAATTAGGCCCATTGGAGGCATGCAGGTTTCCATCATTTTGCATTCTTTGTTCTCCCTCTGGGGCACCATCCATCGTGTCAGTTTAAAATCTGAAATTTTAGATGGTTTAAGTCATGAAAATGTGCAAAAGCAAGTATATGTATATCAGCAGTTAAAATATTAATGAATACGTATTCACCTACAAATAACAGATTTTTATGACTAGAAATCTGTCTTTCTCACCATTTTACATCTTACATTAGTGTATAGTGCTTTATTACCTGGCATTTTTCTCGTAATGACAACAGAAATAGACAGTATACACATATGTACCTGAAATACATTCAATTTAGTATCTTTGAATTACTAATTATCACTTACGTCACAGATAAATATACTTCCACTGATATTGCTTTAATATTAATACTACAATTATATATTCATAAGTTTCAAAATAAATGTCTTTCAAGTTACTTACACCTTTTAATAAGTCTCACTCACCCTGTACAGTGTACGCATAACTTTCATGATTTTTTGTTTATATCAATATACACAAATATCGTAAATTTTCAATTAACAGGATTCAATCTCACTGCCAACAAAGTACAACATTCTTTGTATTCAGTTTCATGGTTCTAAAATCATTAGATAAAAACAACAATTTAAATTTGGTCAAAATCGACTCTTGTTTTCGTGGATAGAGTTTCACCAGGCCCCAACACCAAACACTCTGATGGATTCTTAAACATATATATCTTGTCCATGAAAATGTCTACCTCTGGTGTTGAAGCCTGACGAAACCCAGGCAACCACTCTATTTCATAACTTACCTTTACAATATATACTAGAACATAGGAATAGAATTATAATTGAAATTACTCATTATATTTACTTGATATAATAAGTTTGTTGTCTGAGTTAAGGCACTACAAGTTCTCAATTGAGTGATGGCCTATAATGTTATCAGTGTCAGCGCCTACCCAAGGTAATGAAATGTGATATATTATTTTAACTAGACCTTTATTGTATTATTTGACATTAAAACTAGATAAGCTACATTTGCACAACAGGTGTTATTAACTTGGCAGCACCATACATATTTTATACATGTTTTAAACATTTGCAACAAAAAAAAAGGGTGTCATCTATCTATCAATGGATGTGACACTGTATATATTTACATAACAAATATTCATTTCTGTTAACTTAATATGGGATAAAATGGCAATTTATACCACTGCATTTGTTCTACATCAACCGGTGTATAGACATAGCGACTATTTAGTGCAAAATGTGAGCACACATTTATCTCTGTGCTATTTTTTGCCACACTATAAGCAAGGAAGGTGATAGGTTGTGATTTCCTTTTTGTGTAAAAATATACAATGTTGCATCGGGTACATGTCAAAAAATTGATGCCCTTTTTTGTTTTAAATGGTTAGTGTATTTTTATTTCAAGGCATCCAGCATTTATTAACTAACTGATTACTGAAAGCAGGGTGTAACTATCCCTCAAACTGCATGACCTATGCCTTGGCATGTTGTGCCAAACCTGCGGCATATATTGTGCATGTGTTTGTTAATAATCTTAATCGATCCTTAAGATTGGATATGACAGCCGGCAAAGACATTCTGGTTATGAAATGATGTATCATGTCTACCTTGCACACCATCAATTTAAACTGGTCAACACTGCCGGTATAACAGACGGGTACAGTACTGCATCACTCTTTCAACATGACATTAACAATAACGACTGCTTTTATTTGCACAATTCAACGGAAACCAAGGGGAAACTATTTATATCAACCACTTCATATAATTCTCTAAATCTAATTACCAATTATAAACGACAGTATATCCACAGAGACTCCATCAGTGATTCAAAATGATCAAATTTGTATCTTGATCCGTCGAATTTCCTTGTATCGTCGGCCATTTTGACAAATGGTGTGATTATCTATCTTCTCATCTGAAGAGTTTTTGTGTGAATTTCTGATTTACCTCCCTTTATGTTTCAATATTTTGCATAGCAGACACGTATTACATTACTTGCCATCATTACGCATTCGTAATGTTTTAGACCTGTTATACATAAAAATTCGCAACATATATGTAGTTTATTTCTCTTTTTTTAAATAGATATATCACCAATTTATTACAAATATATCACCATATCACCAATTTATTATAGATTTATCACCAATTCATTATCGATACATCACCAATTTGTGATAGATACGTCACCATTTTATTATAGATATATGACCAATCTATTATTGATATATCACCAATCTATTATAGATATATCACCAATTTATTATAGATGTATCATCAATTTTTCTAGATATATCACCAATATATTATCTATACATTACCAATTTGTCACCAATTTATTATAGATATATCACCAATTTATTATAGATACAAAACCAAATTTATTATAGATAAATCACCAATTTATTATAGATATATCACCAATTTATAATAGATAAATCACCAAATTTATTATAGATAAATAACCAATTTATTATAGATAAGTCACCAATTTATCATAGGTATATCACAAATTTGTAATAGATAAATCACCTATTTATTATAGATATATCACCAATTTATTATAAATACAACACCAAATTTATTAGATAAATCACCAAATTTATTATAGATAAATCACCTATTTACAATAGATATATCACCAATTTATTATAGATACAACAAATCACCAATTTATTATAGATATATCACCAATTTATTATAATAACACCAAATTTATTAGATAAATCACCAATTTATTATAGATACAACAAATCACCACTTTATTATAGATATATCACCAATTTATTATAAATACAACACCAAATTTATTAGATAAATCACCAAATTTATTATAGATAAATCACCAATTTATTATAGATAAATCACCAAATTTATTATAGATAAATCACCAATTTATTATAGATATATCACCAATTTATTATAATAACAACACCAAATTTATTAGATAAATCACCAATTTATTATAGATACAACAAATCACCACTTTATTATAGATATATCACCAATTTATTATAAATACAAAACCAAATTTATTAGATAAATCACCAAATTTATTATAGATAAATCACCAATTTATAATAGATAAATCACCAAATCTATTATAGATAAATCACCCATTTACTATAGATAAATCACCAATTTATTATAGATACAACAAATCACCACTTTATTATAGATATATCACCAATTTATTATAAATACAAAACCAAATTTATTATAGATAAATCTCCAATTTATAATAGATAAATCACCAAATCTATTATTATACCCATTTACTATAGATAAATCACCAATTTATAATAGATAAATCACCAAATTTATTATAGATAAATCACCCATTTATTATAGATATATCACCAATTTATTATAGATAAATCACCAAATTTATTATAGAATTTTTCTAATATCACCAATATATATTATACATTACCAATTTGTTATATATCACCAATTTATTATAGTCATTTATTAATCACCAATTTATTATAGATAAATCACCAATTTATTCTAGATATATCACCAATATATTAAATCACCAATTTATAATACATTCACCAATTTATTATAGATAAATCACCTATTTACAATAGATAAATCACCAATTATAATAGATAAATCACCAATTTATTATAGATATATCACCAATTTATTATAGATAAATCACCAATTTATTATAGATATATCACCAATTTATTATAGATAAATCACCAATTTATAATAGATAAATCACCAAATTTATTATAGATAAATCACCTATTTACAATAGATAAATCACCAATCTATAATAGATAAATCACCAATTTATTATAGATATATCACCAATTTATTATAGATACAACAAATCACCAATTTATTATAGATATATCACCAATTTATTATAAATACAAAACCAAATTTATTAGATAAATCACCAAATTTATTATAGAAGAATCACCCATTTACTATAGATAAATCACCAATTTATTATAGATAAATATCAAATTTACTATAGATAAATCACCAATTTATTATAGATATATCACCAATTTATTATAGATACAACAAATCACCAATTTATTATAGATATATCACCAATTTATTAGATTAACAACACCAAATTTATAAGATAAATCACCAAATTTATTATAGATAAATCACCAATTTATTATAGATACAACAAATCACCAATTTATAATAGATAAATCACCAATTCCTTAGATTAATATCACCAGTTCGGTATAATGATATCTCAAATTTACTACAATGATATCACCTATTCATTATAGTGATATCACCTATTCATTACAGTGATATCACCTATTCATTACAGTGAGATCACCTAGTCGGTATAGTGATATCACCTATTCATTACAGTGATATCACCTATTCATTACAGTTATATCACCTATACATTACAGTGACATCACCTATTCACTATAGTGATATCTCCTATTCATTATAGTGACATCTCCTATTCATTACAGTGAGATCACCTAGTCGGTATAGTGATATCACCTATTCATTACAGTGATATCACCTATTCATTATATAGAGGTTTTACAACGAGTGGCAGTTGATTATCATCGTTATCTAACTCGAGTTAGTTAATTAACTATCGAGAGTTTGATAACGATGATAATCAACTCTCACGAGTTGTAGAACTTCTTTCTACCATAACCTTTTAACGTAAAAATATATGTATAGTGTGTACAACATTGTTTCGCACCCATTGACACTTTCGCGTAAGAATACATCGTATGTTGTCTGATTGGGTCATTAATATGCAAAAAGAGACAAAATCGCTATTATTGATGCAAAAGACTTATTTATTCAGTAATATTGTTTGGAAACATCCCGTAACATTAGTTCATTGAAATACGTTATAAAATTACACAAATTGTTTATCTTTCAAAAAAAAATAATTTGGAACTAGATTTTATTGCGGATAAGACTAGTGCTTCTTCGCGGGAAAATGTGAATGCAGACACGATTAAGAAGGCGTGTAATTTCGAGAACTTCTGATCACTTTCATCAGAACTGTACATCACAATATCAAAGGTTGGGAAACCAAAATTACTGCATTTAGCAATTACTATCCCCCTTCCCCCTCCACACAGTTTTGCCGCATCACCGATCTTGACCGCCGGCAAGAATGACAGATCGTCACTGTCAGCCATGTTGATGATGGACAGCAGACGATGAAAACAATCGCACGTGGCGAAAGTAGTTCGGCGTCACAGATCATTGTTGGGTCAAATGTCAATGCCTCGTCCAATAGATTTGGCTGTCACCAATAATACACGTGTGTATTATGCGTATGAATAAACAATGGATATGGCGTTTAATGAATAGTCTGGGCGTGAGATAACATACGCAGGTTATGGTAGAAAATGATATCACCTATTCATTACAGTGATATCACCTATTCATTACAGTGATATCGCCTATTCATTATAATTATATCACCTATTCGTTATAGTGATATCACCTGTTCATTATAGTGACATCACCTATTCATTAGTTATATCACCTCTTCATTACAGTGATATCACCTATTCATTATAGTTTGATCACCTATTCATTATAGTGACATCACCTATTCATTACAGTGACATCACCTATTCATTATAGTGATATCAGTTATAATCGCGATATTACCTATCAAAACCTTGAGTATATAACGTGTACGTCTCTGATCAGTCTAGGTCTATTTGGTAGCGTGCTACAATAGGAGTACTCACATGTCTTAAGTCACCATATGCTACTGGTTCCATATTATGCAGCTAGACAAACTGTGACATTGAAAGTTTGACATAAATGTAACTTCTTAAACTTGCAAAGATCATCCGTTTGCCTAAGATTTATTACATTAAAAACTGGCTCAAGTTAACGATAGTAACAAACAGCAAACTAAAGCAATATTATGAAATTCTACAGTAAACTTTAATCGCTAACTGGAAAAGAAAAACGATGTCTAGACTCACAAGCTAAGAAAAATATCAAAGAGAAATATACGTCTAGTCAAAGAAACAAAATAAGATTGCTATTTACAAAATTCCAGATTTAGGAACATATCTGTAATCTTGAACTACATTCCTGATGTAGCTTCAAGAAGACTGTGAAAATTCCCAGAATTTCACGAGGAAGAGAACTGGAAAAGTCACCTCTCCTACGGCAAGCAGCGCATGGAGAAGGATTAATTTGTATGTAAGAAGGCTGATTGTACCTATGCAACAAGCAAAAAGTCTGACCTAATGAGACACCGGAAGCGAAATCACCAAGCTTTTGTTGAGGAAAGTGAGGAGGAATGGGAGCAAACAGGACCCTGGCACTTTGTCTGATGTTGTGAAGGAAGAACCGTCTAAGGCTAAGAGTAGCAAAGGCTCATAGGCGGCTGCTTCAGACATCGTTAGGCGCATAATCAGAAAAAAGCACCCTTGGACGTCCCCTGATCGACACGACATCTAGTGTGCCTAAGACCACGGACATTCTTTAAGCGTTGCATGTTGTAACTCTTCTCCTATTGGTTGTACATAAGCAACCTGGGCAGCTTCAGTCAGTATCAGGTCCATTTCGCCATCGTTTATTCTAAGTGCAGGCAGCCGACGTCCGGAAGAATTCGGGAATACCAGTACTCAGACAGAGGTACTGATGTGCCGACGCTTCCGTAGGACCAAAATAACAAAGGATGGCTGCACAACAGTTGAGGACGTCTCAGAAGAGGAATCCTGGGAATGACTGTTTCTTCAAAACGTTGTTGTGTGGTTCTGAGTCTGCTCAGGTGGCAGTTCATCGTATAAGAAAAACTTTGCTGTGTAGACAACTGATCATTATCTTATGCGAGACGCATAAGACTAAAGGGAAAGGCAATCTAACGCTATTTTGATTTCGATTCGATCTTCGTGTACCTCAATAAAGTTTAGATCATGGTAGTTTGCGTGTTTGTCATTTATATGTTGAATAGGACAGTCAAGCACACTCCCGATCTAGATTTAGGGAAATGGAACGACCCGATTTACCTTGAGGTGGCACCTTCAATTTGTATATAAACGACGACGGGCCATCATCCGGGGTGTTTCGTTTATGGTTCTCTGAGAGGAGGCATCAGTAGAAAAGCGACAACAAAGGTAATTATAATACTAAATCCGTGTTAGGGTAGAAACAGCAAATAGATAGGGAGAGCCTGAACAAGGCTCTGATATTCCGGCTATTTGCTTCAGTTTAATAAAGCACTGAACAAGTGTAAGTGTTTGGCACTGTATCTGTACAAGTGCCGATGCGCGCTACGAACCAGTGCTCGGTTAGGAGCAACTGCTCTGCGCATTGTACACGTGCCGTTGCGCTGCGTTGACAACTGCGCGGGTGGGCGCCGTTGTTATAATTATAGCACATCCCAAGTATATCCTTAGGACGAACCCAGGGTTAATAGGACACCCTGCACGTTACAAAATTTGGTGGCAGCGATGGGATACAGTGTCTTGTACATTTTATGCTGGTTGCGTATCATACATTATTGTAAATTATGGACATGGAGGAGGAAATTAGCCGTATTAAGGGGCAGATAACCTCTCTGAGGCTCCAGAGATCGGGCAAAGGCTGGAAGATGGGCAATTCGACGTCTTTGTTAACACCGCGAGACACCAGAACAAGGGATTCAGGTATCGCCAGTGTACAACAAACTGGCCACGACAATCTTCCACCCTCAGATGAAGCCGAAGAGATACAGTTATCTCATAAACAGATGTGTTCTAGCTCAGGTTGGACGTTTAAAGTTTGAACCTTTTACCGCAACTATATCTATTGTATCTATTCGAGATACAAGTACACATCCCCAGCACCACATGCAGGGTAAGTTGCTGTGAATTATCTGTAAACGATTAATTACCCATGAATAGTTAATATTGCTGTACAAGTTCAGTCTTTCGTATTTTACACATACACGTATATTATCTCTTACTTCAGATGTCCAGTTGTTCGCATTGTGTATTGTGAAGTAATTGTGCAGTGCGTTCGATAACGTTTTGTAAAAGTAGTTTTATGTGCTCGTATTGTATAGTCGTGTTTTTGTCTTTTTAGGGATTTTTTGTGCTCGAAATAAATTTGAAGCAGACAACCTCGAGTCAGTCGGTTTTTTTTCTAAAAGAACACTAATTTCACACAAAGCCAGTGCACCGTTGTTATAATTATAGTACAACACATCCCAAGTATGTCCTTAGGACGAACCCAGGGTTAATAGGACACCCTGCAAGTTACAGGAGCATCTCTTTCTTCGGTGCGTATTTCATGCACAATTAGACCTGATTATACAACATTGATAATTAATTAATTTCTGATCCTACATAACAATATTCGATACTTTTAGGTCCCATCTATACCCTTCTACGCCCCTGCCACGTCCCTGTCATGCATGAACTCGCAAAACTGACTCCTGTTGACACTATTACAAAGTCGTTATGAGACTCAGTTGACCCAGAAACTCGGTGAAGTTTGTTCTTTTATAAACGGCAATCTATATATAATCTCTGCTTCTAAAATAACCCTTTTAAACTAAACAAGAGGCCTTTCACCTCAAATTTATTTTAATAACTTGCATTATATTGTTTGCACCATTGAACGCGTAGTGTAAAATTGCAGTCCCATCCTATTTTCACTAAGTTAGAGAAATTAGTTCCAGTCAAAGATTGTAAAAAAACAATGGCAAAAATGTAATTGAACCGAATACAAACTACAGTGAACTACATTCTATCACCATAGGACGATTAAGGTAGAACCTTGAAGTAATGAAATTCACAATTTTGGATAGTACCTTGTGGTCATTCCATTCATGTAAAGTGTTTGATTATGTCATATCTGAGACTTGAGATGAAGAATTTAGACATTTCAGAAAACTTGACCTCATTTGGATCCGCACCTCAGGCCTCGTACATAGATATTGCATATACACTGTCTTGGACCGTGATATGTCTATAAATAGGTAGGATGGACACTGCAGCATCAGGTGACCTGTTCAAAATGCAAATAAAGATGGAATAGAAATAAATGTTAGAACGTATATTTCAAATACTTATTTAGACTATAGATATAAATGAAAAGGATGTTGCTTGCGTGAGGAATTGGGTTTTGTTTCATAGCTTTTTATGCAAAGTGTAAGGTCTGTCCCATTAGTGACATTTACGATCATGGGCAATGTAGATATAGTGTAAACAGTCTTGTTCCAATATGGCTTCCTTGATTTGCTTATCTCTTAAATGACATTTCGTAGTAGGCACAACTTTTTAATATAATGGACAATCAATGATTTGACAAGTTAAAACACTGACGGTTTGAAAAATAATTCAATTTTGGTCTCATATCGGTATTCGAGTTATCTCCCTTCTTCTGCCACACGTGTAAGAAACCTGCTTACAGTGGTGGAGTTCGGTGTACAAGTTGGGAGGAAATTGATCTTAACATTACTAGGTATCGTATGGAATATTCGTATGTTGATGCACTAGTGGATTTCCGAGCTGAATCGAGATTGAACTGGTTACTTTTGGGTCGGGTTTTGTTCGCGAGGCGATTCTTTCTACTACGTAATTAACCCATATTGGTTATAAAGCGAGAGACGTATAGATTCTATATAGGTCTCTGATAACGCAGTATAAATATTGACAGGGAACAATGACATGGTGTTATGATGCATGCTTATTGTTATACTTTACATAAACACTGGCTACGACTGTGTTTCAGATTTTGGCAACAAATATTGATATTAGGTTTTAGTGGTAACCAACGGCACTTTTAGTTAATCACAACCTGTAATGTATAATATGTTGGTCAATTACCCCGAAAGGAGCCTCACAAAATGGAGGTGTGTCAGTTTAAACCAATAGCAATACCTTTGTTTTGCCACTTTGAAGGTTAAATTAGGATAGCGATAATCACCAGTAAGTATTCACACTAACTTGGTGTAAATTATTGGTAATCAGGAGAGGAATAAATTTATTGAAATTCACTTTTGTCATGTTGCAATTATTTTGTGTATATAAATAATATATGTGTATACAGCTGTTTATTACACTGAGGCATTAAATTATTATGTGTATGAACAGATACATGTTCCTCCTGATAAGGGGCTACCACTACTAATATTCAGACTAATCAGAGACGTATATATTGTATATATATGTGTGATATATACGTCTCTTGACTATTACAACAAGTTTGTAAAGTTGTTAGAGCTACAACAAAGCTATATAAAGGTGCATGTACAGTATACTCTTTCAAGTTTTGGATGCCAATACTCAAAATTGTAGGTGTCCATGTGTCTATTGAGTATGATGTAATAAAGCAGGGAATGATGAAACCGAAGGACCACCATTATATATTCAGAGATTTTTTTTATGAAACTCAGTCATATCTGATCCCCTCAAACTCTACACAAAACAACTCCATGTAACTTAGTAGGCTTTACTTATCAGAATGGTAAGGGTTTATTTTTCCTGAACAGCATTGGACTCTTTTGTTTGTTTTTTGTTTCTGTATTCAAATCTTGACCAGAGATCCTGTTTAAATGTTGTTTAAAGTCATGCAGTCTCTACGAAACTTTTGAAGCTTTTTAACCCTAGCTGACAAATTTTTTTATTTTCTTAAACAACACTTTGATTCTGCTGTGAGTGTGAGGAAGAATTATATATATATATATATATTTTTTTTTTTTTTGCAGTATTTGTTTTTGTCCGGAAATCTCCTTATCATTGCCTTTTCATCATATGTAGCATTCTGTTTTCCTGAACATGAGTATTTTGTTATGAAAATTGCTTTGAAGAGTTAGACCAATTTGTTATTTTTCATTTCAACCTTTTTCTGGGATCCCTTAAGTTAGTAGATTTCAATTAGTGTATCTTTGAAAAATATTTTGATATAATGACAGGAGTTGGTAGTTCACAGTAAAATTTTGACTTGACATCAGACCTTTTACTATAGTTTTACTTCAACTGGTTTGAAGGACTGGTAAGACTGAGGCCTGAGGGGTGGGCCTAAAAAGGGAAATTTTTCTGGTACATTGAAATTCTACTTCGCCTTTAGAATTTTTTTTATTTATCCATATTTGGAGTAAAGCATCCTTGGGTAAAGGAGATTCAATTTTGTGGAAACAGTGGGTCTCCCCTCCACCCCCACCCCACCACCCCAACCCCCCTTAAGGAGGGAGGAGGGGCAGGGCCCAATAGATGAAACAGAGTAAATGTTTTAAGATCCCATTTTATCCTGAAGAAATGACTAGATATTGCCCAAATTTGGTCTGAAGTATCTTTTGGGGAAGGGAAATCACTTTTGTATGAACAGTGAGCAAATTGTTTAAAACTCTACTCCTCCTGAGGAATGATTGGATTTTATCCCATTAGAAGCGTCAAATTTTTGTATAAACAGCGGGTCTTAGCTTGGACCCTAGGGGCAGGAGAGGGGCTGAGTGAAGTCCAATGTGGGAAATAGAATTAATTCTTTGAAATCCTACTCTTCCTGTAGAAATGATTGGATTTTGCCTAAATTTGATGTGAAGCATTTGTTGTTGTTGAAGGGGAACAAGTTTTGTATAAAAGTTGGTTATTAGTCCCCTGGAATGGGAGGGGTGGGGCCCAATATGCAATACACATATAATTCATTTTCATTTAGTTTTGGTTAAGCAATTACAGCAAAATAAACCAGGTGAGTGATAAAGACCCTATGGGCCTCTTGTTCATTTTGACTTAGTAATGTGGCAATAGTAAATAATAGTAATAGTTTTTTTATGTTGGCTAGCATGGGAACTCCTACTAATCACTACAGTCCTAATACGGTATATATATATCTTTTTGGTCCTGTGGTACTTTGTCTATCAACATGAACATATAACAGATGAAAAATAACCATTAGCGAGATAATCTTGTAATTCTTCATACGACTGGCTTTCTTTCATCTATAATTACCCTGTGTTGAATATCATAACTATAAATATGAGTTTTATTTATTTGACAACAAGTGCGAAACAAGCTTGAATTAATCACTCTTGTTGGCCAGGATAGAAAATAGTGGTCGGGTAGGTGATCCAAAATGTTTTCATGTCTGTTTCAGGAATTGAAACCCAGAGAACTAGGTGAAAAGTTCATATGCATATCTGTTGGGCAGCTATTTTTTTTAAAGGCAGAGATCATTTGTTTTTATTTCAACATTGCATGAAATATAGACAGGGCTTGTAACTAGACTCCTTGCTGGATGAACACAATCTAATTTTTAATATATTGCAAATAACACAGCATTGTCATACTTTTTGTGATATAAATTTGATAATTTTTTTTAACAGAAATTACTTTCTCAACATGATGAATGTAGTCAGGAAGTCTATTTCTTCGGCAATAAGAAGTACAGCCAGGAGAGCTACTCTTGCAACAAGTACAGCTACCAAGGATATTAAGACTGGTGAAAAATCAGAGGCGATATATGCAAAAGAGCAGAAGTATGGAGCCCACAACTATGGTCCTATTCCTGTGGCCTTGAGTCGTGGAGAAGGTCAGGTTACACTCTTTTTGACCTTTGTCATATACCTGTTTCACAGAGACATTTAACAGTTAATTTTTGTGTCACAGATAAAATGATCAGTTGTATACTCTGTTTTGGAGAATATTATTGTATAATTCGCTATAGCTCCACAATAGAGAAAACAAGAAAAAACATTCAGTAGATTTTAACCTGAAATATTTATTGAAAATTTACAAACAGAAATTGATTTTACACTCTGAAGTAGGCCAGTTGACGTTTACCCAAATAATTGTTTACCACCACATGTAGTTCTGAATTATCTCTTTGCTGAAGAGATATTGAACTGAAATTGACTTGAGGAGATGCAGGTAAAGTTTGAATTTGGTTTTTTATTTAACTAAGATTGTTTTACTGGTTCATTAGGAGATGCATAGGAGTCCATTATCTAATCAGACAGTGTTTTCTGCTAAGAGATGAACCTGAACCTCGGGTATTTTATTCTTACACGCAACTAATCAAGCTTAAGAGAAGATCTTTCTTGCTAAGTGGAATATTGTGGCTAGTATTTCCTGGGGTTACTCATACAGATATCATATGTTGTTACTGTGAAAATGGCCTATTATAATTAACTGCATTTTATGTGGATTGTCTTGACAAATATCTTATATGTGTAAAAATATTCAACTGAAAAAAATAAAAATAAAACATTATATTAAAGTGACAGCTGCTTTGGTAACTTGAATATATCATGAAGGAGACAAAGATTGTTCCCTATCACAAAATTTGACAGAACAAGTGCTCTTATAGTCAATGGCTAATAAAGTCAATTCAGATATGATAAAGCAATCATTGTAGTGTTTTTATCTCACTATCAGCTGATGATTGTCTGTTCAAAATAGTTAAAGTAAATAATAAGGTGATGGTTGTCTTATCAAAATAGATAACAAAGCAAGCACTTGGATTAACTCAAGCTCTTCCACAATACAGAGTTTTTACATATATAATAAACAAATTATCTTCGGTATGATATGTCCTACACTTATTAAAATCAAGGTTGCAGTAACTATAGATGAAGTGTTCACATAGCTATACCTTATGCATAAGCAACATATAAAAATCTTGATCTAAACAAACACTGTGTTATGCTCTACAACAAACTGCTGTATTGTCTTTTGAGGCTTTATTTACAAGGGGTTGTCTCCCTTGCACTGTAAGGTTCTGGTAAAACTCACTTGGATTTGACTCTCCTCTGTGTGTTGAATTTAAGCGATTAGCACACTGGCCCCAATGACCAATCCAATACGTCTTTCCTAGCAGCATCTATTAACACTCTATGTTGCCATAGCTGTATGTATTTCTGGTTACATGTTACCCATTGTATTGTCAAATCTCTTAATGACTATCCAAGCATATTCCTGTCTATACATATATATATGTAGGTTGATACACTGGTTGTTTAACTGGCTATGGGGAAATTTGATATCTAGATCATCTGACACGAAGGAAGAGCAAAAATCTGCCTAAAACTTCTTGGTGCAATTCCACCAGTTGGATTTAGCTCAAACTTTTTTGAAATGACCCTGAGATTGTCTGGGTCAAGTTTTGTTATTTTTTGGGGTTGATCCAAAATCCAATATGCCACCATGCCTCCCATATTGAAAATACGCAGATCTTTAAGGCCCATGGGCCTGTTGTGTTCTTTTCTGTAATCCTTATGTTTCTGTGTGCTCATGTGTATTACAGGTGTGTTTTTGTGGGATGTGGAAGGCAACCGTTACTACGACTTCCTCAGTGCATATAGTGCTGTTAACCAGGGTCACTGCCACCCTAAGATTGTTGGAGCACTCAAAGAGCAGGCTGATATCCTCACACTCACCTCTCGTGCTTTCTACAACAACGTTCTGGGAGAGTATGAGGAGTATGTGCACAACTTGTTTGGATACGACAAAGTGCTTCCCATGAATACAGGTAAGAATATCATTTTACATACAACAAAATGCTGCCAATTAATACAGGTAATTATCTCTTTGTAAACTATGAATCAGTATTAGTGCTTGCATATGAATGAAGTTTTCCATGCATGTTTTCCAGTTGAGTATGTTTACATTTACAATCTCTGTGTCTTTCTTTGTTATAACATGAAGGATTCAGGGACATGTAGGGATATATTTAAACAGCCTACAGTGTTACCTGAATACTGATAAACATCAGTGAAAGTAGACATTCAACATGTAAAACAACCATCCCTTAAAAATAAAGGATTGCTGAATGTAGGTTTTGTTAATTTCTTTTAAAGGGACTAAATGGCTAGATTTTTTCCCCTGCATTTGATTTTGTGGCAAGCATTGTAATACTTAAAATTAGACTCTTTATAAAATTATAACACTCTCTGAGAGATATTGATAAAGATTATCAGCTTCAAACTAATGCTAGTCAACACTAACTGTTATGTCTACCATCCATTACTGATTTGATCGGAGGTAGCTGAGTTCATCATGTGACCGTTCGGAGCCTCATTTTAACCTGCTGTTTTGATATGATTTCTTACTATGTATAATTAGGTAATTAGACAAATTTTGATTTGACAACTATGTTTCAATTCTTAGTTTGTAAAATGGCCTCATGTTTCACACTATATGCATGACAAAGTGAAATAAAGAGATTTGCATTAATCTGAATCTAAAATTACATCCTCAAAGACATTGTTTACACTCTTTAAACAATAATGATATGAATAAGCGCTTGGTTGCTCCTATTTTGTCTTAATTTTTTGACATTGATAAATGGTTATGCAAACTTTAAAATATCATCATTAAGAGGAAGTACACAAGTATTAACATATAACTAAATGTTATGATGCTTTTTATCAGGTATGAAATGAATATCTAACCATTTAGTCCCTTTAATGTGTGGAGGAAGTTGAGAATGTCTGATTGGGTTATTTGTCATGGTTATTTGTTGTAGGGATGGAGGGAGGTGAGAATGTCTGATTGGGATATTTGTTGTGGTTTGTTGTTGTAGGGATGGAGGGAGGTGAGAATGTCTGATTGGGTTATTTGTCATGGTTATTTGTTGTAGGGATGGAGGGAGGTGAGAATGTCTGATTGGGATATTTGTTGTGGTTTGTTGTTGTAGGGATGGAGGGAGGTGAGAATGTCTGATTGGGTTATTTGTCGTGGTTTGTTGTTGTAGGGATGGAGGGAGGTGAGAATGTCTGATTGGGTTATTTGTTGGGTTTGTTGTTGTAGGGATGGAGGAAGGTGAGAATGTCTGATTGGGTTATTTGTCGTGGTTTGTTGTTGTAGGGATGGAGGGAGGTGAGAATGTCTGATTGGGTTATTTGTCGTGGTTTGTTGTTGTAGGGATGGAGGGAGGTGAGAATGTCTGATTGGGTTATTTGTTGGGTTTGTTGTTGTAGGGATGGAGGAAGGTGAGAATGTCTGATTGGGTTATTTGTTGGGTTTGATGTTGTAGGGATGGAGGGAGGTGAGAATGTCTGATTGGGTTATTTGTCGTGGTTTGTTGTTGTAGGGATGGAGGAAGGTGAGAATGTCTGATTGGGTTATTTGTTGTGGTTTGTTGTTGTAGGGATGGAGGGAGGTGAGAATGTCTGATTGGGATATTTGTTGTGGTTTGTTGTTGTAGGGATGGAGGGAGGTGAGAATGTCTGATTGGGATATTTGTTGTGGTTTGTTGTTGTAGGGATGGAGGAAGGTGAGAATGTCTGATTGGGTTATTTGTTGTTATTTGTTGTAGGGGTTGAGGGAGGTGAGACTGCCTGTAAGTTGGCTAGGAGGTGGGGATACGATGTGAAAAAGGTGCCAAAAGATCAGGCAAGGATAATTTTTGCCGATGGAAACTTCTGGGGTCGCACGTTGGCAGCTATCTCGAGCTCGACAGATCCATCCAGCTTTGCTGGCTATGGCCCCTACATGCCAGGTTTTGGAACCGTCCCTTACAACGATATAGATGCACTAGAGGTGAGAACATTAATTCCTTTTAATTACTGATAGTTCAGTCACAAACTGCTTCAGCATGTGAATGAGGTTAAACTTGAAATCTGTTCCAGGACAGTTAAGTCTCACTTGGTTCCTGGCCTTCTGTTCTTGTGGGCTAACAGTCACAAGGCAATGTCTGCTGTCTGTAGCTCCAATAGATAACTCTGATGATTCTGATGCAGTTAAACCTGCCCTAAGTATCACCCTTGTACATGTATAATAACATCTAATTCTGTAAGTCCCTTGTTTGAGTTTCCAATGTTATACTGTTGAAGGAACCTCTATTATAAGACCACCTGCTTATAAATACCACCTGCTTATAAAGGCCGGCTTTTTGTTGCTCCCTCAGTTCATTGGAATTTGAAGGAAAAAGTGACTGTATGTTAAATTAGCCTAAATTCTATGGTGTGTGCAAATAAGGAAACTAATAGTGATATTGGAGGAGTTTGTATCCTGGAATGGATGTGAAATGGTGTGAGGCCACCCACCTAACTACATGGGTTTTAGGCTGTGATACTCAGAGGGATCCAGCCAAACCCAGTGGTTACTGGTTTAACAATTTTCGTTAGATAAATAATGACTTGCATTGTAGAAAGAACTGCAGAACCCAAACACATGTGCCTTCATGGTGGAGCCAATTCAAGGAGAGGCAGGTGTTGTCGTCCCTGATGATGGCTACCTTACCAAGGTCAGACAGCTTTGTGACAAATACAATGTCCTCTGGATTGCTGATGAGGTCCAGACTGGACTCGCTCGGACTGGCAGGTAAGGCTGATCCATCTATGTGCACTTGAAAGGATTTGTAATGAAAAATTTTGAAGTAATGTTAATAATTTCATAATGTAAGGACATGTTGAAGACCTGAGTTCGAATCTCATTTGGGCACTCTGTAGTAACTGCTCTTAATCTTTGGTTGTGGTTTCAAGTCTCACATTGTACTCAGTTCATCATACCCTGGTCTCTGTTGTGATGATGTGAGGATCTACCAACCAAGCCAAAGAAGCATGCCCTTTCAGACATGTGACACAGATCATATTCTAACATTATATATTTAAAAGCGATACTGACTTACTTATTTACACTTATGTTTTGAAATTGGTCGTGTTTATAAGGCAGTGTCACATTTATGTCATTAGATACCCTGTACGTACTGCCCTTAAATAATAACTCTCTAATTTCAATCTTTGTATCATATTTATGTAGCAATTATTATCGATGTACAAATTCATATGTATGGTGATATTCCAAAATGTGATTTTGCAAAAATATTGATTTCACCAAAACTGTAAGTCCATCTGCAGTAGAGGTCTATAAAATCTTGGTTTCATGATGATACATCCTGATGTTTTCAGACGTCTGTGTGTAGACCACGACAACGTACGTCCTGACATTGTGGTGCTTGGGAAGGCTTTATCAGGAGGTGTCTTACCAGTATGTATCATTGTAGCACTGAACTTTATTTAGAGAAAAATCTTTTTAAGATTGCCATCATTTAAAAACTAAATGTGTTCAAAATTAAGTTTTGTCTTTCCAATCAAATTGACTTCTAATTACCATAATTTTTGCTATCTGTAATCAGAATTTTGTCATTATTTTTGTCCCTTAAGAATTGACTTTGAGAATATTCCACTGAAAGCTTTGACCTTCCAGGTGTCTGCCATCTTGGCTGACGACCCTGTCATGTTGACTATCAAGCCCGGAGAGCATGGCTCCACCTATGGTGGGAACCCTCTTGCCTGTAAAGTTGCTATAGCAGCCCTTGAGGTAAGCCAGATATGGAACTCTACTGCTGTTCTGCCTATGAAGCTATTCCTGTACATGAGAGCAGGGCTCACCAGTGAACATTTCAAAACCAAACTGTTATTTTTAAAGATTTACATGAAGAAGTTGTCCTAAAATGAGCCCTGTTTGTAATAATTAACTTCCAAATTAATGAAAATAATTATAAAAATGAAAAGTTTGTTATTTAAGACGAAGATTTTAATTAACAACTCAATATGTAGTTATATGAGTTTTTATACTTTTTAAGTGTAGAGTTATTGCCCCTTATGATGTCTGTGTCTATGTGTTCATAATTTATAATCAGGGTAGTGAAGTACATGTATTAATAAGTAGTTGTACCTGTTTGAAAAGAGTAATACCTTCTTTATGGACATTTCCAAATGGATAAAGTTAAAGATTACTTTGTGAACACTGATAGCTTTTATATTAGATCCCAGTGTATTTCAAACTTTGTATGAATATCGGGTACAATTTAGGACAAAGGATTTGTATTGGACCGTTGGACCCCTATAGATTTTCATATCAGATTGTCAACATTTTAATCAGAAAATGTGTTTATGTTACTTAAGATTTCATAGCAAACCCTTTGGTAGTGAGGGGTTAGTTTTCATCAAAACAATTCCTGTATATCCACAGCAATACTTCCACACTGTCAATGTTAACTTCTACAAAACTGGTATACTTTCCTTGACCTTTTTATAACCTCACAGCCAAAATGTATTCAGTTATAATGAATTTAAAATCGTTCACACTGAACATTTGTTATTAATGGGTAAAAGGCAAAGTCGGAAAAAAATTAAAATAGCATTTGTCAGCTATTAACATATATTGAAAAATAATTTGTAATACTCACCTTAACTGAATTAATTGATGCTTACTAAAAGATAAAGTAAGTAAGATAGCAAAAACTATACCATGTTGAATAACAGTACCAGGTTTTTTCATTCCCCATTACAATCTATTATCAAAGCTGACTTGGATTTTGCAATATATGATATGTCAAGTTTTTCTGTTTCGGTAGAAGGTTGCAGATACAAATTTAGTTTTGATTGATATAGCCCATGTACATGTATGTTCATGATAATTTTGAGTGTTGTTGAATTAAAATTTGTTACAAATGATAACATTGAAATTTGTTACAAATGATAACATTGAAATTTGTTACAAAAGATAACATTGAAATTTGTTACAAATGATAACATTGAAATTTGTTACAAAATAATTTTATCAGTTTTATTCATTATTATGATTATGATGTGAGAAAAGTCGTGGAATTTTATGTGTGAAGTATATAGCTTTAGCTGATTTCAATTAGGAAATACTGAAAATCACAGTTTGTTGCCAGTCTATATTATGTGTATGTCCACCTGCAGGTGTTGGAGGAGGAAAAGCTGGCTGAGAGGGCAGATCGTCTGGGAAAAGTTCTTCGCAAAGAGCTTAGTGAACTTCCCAAGGATATGGTGAAGACAGTGAGGGGGAAAGGTCTTCTTAATGCCATTGTTATCAATGAAAGTGAGTCAATAAACAAAACAAAGTTTCAGCACAAAAGTACTTATTTATGGTAACAACTCCATAAAACTTGTAAATGTTGGTAATACCTTTAAAAAGTAATATTTACATCCAAAAATCTATTCAGCAATGTTGGTGAACACCTTTGCAGTATCATTTTACCAATTATTAAATTTGTAAAAGTTGATTGCTACTTTTTATAGTTTCGGTATAACCGCTGACAAATGTTTTATCATTTTCACATAATAAGCTCATGGCTACTGTAAAACTGCACTACTCAAAGTCACAGAGGGAAAGCAATGACTGTGTTTATGTAGGATATTGATAGTAGTTTTTATCATCATCATCTAAGCAGGAAAGGCATTTATCTGATCGACACTGATTTCTAACTTTCTTTATCTCGTTATCAACTGTTGATATCTTTTCAATAAGAAAAAAATTAAGTAAATACATTAAATAAAAGAAATTACCAACATATGGAACTGTGATTAAGTACCTCAAGTATTTTTGTATATAAGTAGCTGATTAAGATTAAGACCATGTATCTTAAGATGCTTCTCACTTCAGTGGTGTTACCTATATGTCATAAAAACAAACAAATTTCAGATCAATCCAATTCATTTTTTAATGGACACCAATTTATGGAAAAAAAAGTGCTCCCAAAAAAACTTATATTAATTAGTGATGTTTTAAGTGTTTTTCTTAGTCATGCTGTAACATATATGTTTAACTTCTTTTTCAGAAGTGGACGCCATGGACATCTGTTTACGTCTCCGTGACAACGGCCTGCTTTCCAAGCCTACCCATGGTGACATCATCAGATTTGCCCCACCTTTGATTATGACAGATGAACAGATGCAGGAGTGTATCAGTATTATTAAGAACACCATCATGGAGTTTGTGTAAATAATGTCTGGTCATAGGACCACTCATCTATAGAGTGGGGAGTACACTGTTACGTGCCTGTATTGAACATTTTACATTTGTACTGCTTTATCTAGGCATTGTTTGCCAAATGTCTAAGACTTAAACAGCTTATCAGTCTTCTACTGATAACTTCATTCTAACAGACATCTTAACTTTCCAGGTTTGAAATGAGGAGAAAACACCTATTGGAAATATAATATTTTCACAATCTATTGACATATAATGTATCATTCGATATGATGCTGCATTATTGCTAACTTTATTTGTCTTACAATTACTTAATATGAATTGGATTTCAACAATTAATTATGATTAAGGGCAATTAAGATCCACAATTAACAATTCTTTAATGACATTTCCAAAAATAGCAATGGAGAATGAATTTTGTGAGACTTTCCCAGTAAGGAGGGTTAATAACAGGAAGTTTATAAATACGATGAAATGTCTTATATAATTACCATAGGAGATTCCTTTTTAAACAGCAATAGTAAACATTTAACCTTTTTATGACCTGTGTCAATTGATATGAAAATTTTCTATCATGTAAATCTTGTGATTCAGAAAATTGTTGGTAAAAACACAAGAAAATATGTCAGTATCAATCAGCCTCATTAATTATGACCATATATAGATATCAAACAGTTACCTAATTAATAAGGTTATAATTTACTATTATATTGTGTGGTGTGGTTCAGAGAAGTAATGGGTTTTATCAACTAATCCTGAAGATCAGAGGTCAAAAGCCAAGCATTTATTCAAAATTAAATTTTATTTTTTTATTTTGCACCAAATTCTCTATCACTTGTAACTTACAGATTGTTTATGTAAATGCAGGAGACAGGATGGTATTCAATGAACCAGGATTCACATGTTTTTAGGAAAAGATTAAAAACTTCAGGTAGAATCTTTTCCTTTTTATGAAATTATTTCTAAATGTCATAATAAGTGAAGTTTGGATAGTTGTTTTTTATACATCATTATTTGAAAGTTACTTTTAATGAAATGCATAATGTGTTTTGCTTTCTGTTAATTATGATAGCTAGAAATTCCTGATGTGTATATTTTTAGTCACATTAATTTACATTTGAATCATGAAAATCATGATTATTTTATATTCCACTATCAAAGGGTGGAATGGTTGAGGGAATACTCATGTTTGTTAATCACTTCTACTTTTATCATTCTGCTGCCTTAAACTTGACAATATTGTTGCCAGGTTTTTTTGGTGTGTTATACTCATCGTTGTCTTTGGTCAATATTAAATATACATTATGTGTATTTCTCTCCCCTTAGATCATTTATGAAGTCAGTACAATTGTTTATCAATGTAGTACACTGTGAAATGTAATCAGGTTTTATATATTCCATAATAAAAACTTTCATGTCATATTGTTATAGATAAAATGTAGGTTGTCTTTTCAACAGCTATTGTAACTATTTTGTCATAAATCAAACCAATGAAACGAAATCAGATTCTTTGTCACCTAACATATTAAATTTTGTCAAAACAAATCACATGACGTATATAACACATCACATGTATTAAACAAATCATGTGACTTGAAACAAATCTAATGCAGATATCAAATTACTTCATATATTTAAAGAAAAATATTGGGTGTAAAATACAGTGTTTGGTTTCATCATAGAGAAATAATACATGTTATGTATCTGACATCTGATTTATGTTTTGTGACAGACAAAAGGGGTACAATTGATCTCTGCCTTTATAGGGTGATCTAATTTTTAGTTTATATAGAAAGAAAACTGAATGGAGGAAAACCTGTTGATACATAAATATTCTGAAATTCCCAAAAGCATTTATAGGTTTTATTTGTTTTGGCAATAAAAAAGTGATGAAATATTTCAAGTTGTGCCCGTTTGATTTTAGACTGATAAGAAAAACAAAATGGCTGACAGGTGACTATCATGAATTTTGACAATGAAAGTTCATGATCGTCATTTCTTGAGAAGTACAAGATGGATCTTTCTCAAATTTCATTTGCAGATTTTTCTTGGTTCTTAGTTACCTTCTGGTTTTGGGATTTATCAGAAAGCAAAATGCAATCTTCTGTCAAATATTTATAATTTGAGTTGAATTCTTATCCTTATCATTGAAATCCAATACTAATATCAAAGGTATAGTTATAACAGAAAGTCAATTCCTTCTTGGTCAATATGCTGATAATGCCTACCCTCTACTTGACGGCAATAGTCAATCTTTGTACAATGCAGTTGAGTTATTGGAAGATTTTGTCATAGTATCTGGACTAACATTTATAAATATCTACTCTGTATTGGACAGTTAAAATTTCTAAATGAAAGAATACTGGGGTATGTCTTTATTTGACGATAACCTGGTCAGATACAGACTTCAAGTTGTTGGTTAGTACATGTATGTTTTCATTTTATAGACAATTTGGAACATATCGGTTATGGAAAACAACAAAGTAGATACCATCATATTGTCATAATTTAAACTGAAATACAATCAAACCAGGGCAAAATATGAACAAAAGAAAGATTTACATAAAAAAATTCTAAAAAAAGCACAAGGAGAATAAGACCAGGTGTCCTGGAAGAGTAAGCGTCTACTGCTACATTGACGACACCCACCACGTAAATCTTGGTCAATCCAAGTAAGTAATGTCACGTTCTCAAATGAGAACAAGGTGTACAACAGTGGAACTAACAGGCAAACTAAGGAGTATGTATAATATAAAATGTATTTATATGTTATAAATTAGGAAGTAAACAGAGGTACTGGACCTATTGCATGTCAGGAAGAGGAGGGACAGGAAAATGAAATGGACCAAAATAATTCTGTGAAAGCTGGTAAATCAAATTTTATCCTTTAAAACTGAACTGTTATATATATAGCAAAAACTGAAGAGGCTGGAAAAACATTGAAAATGTACCTTTTCAGGAAACAAACATACAGAAAAGGAACAGAGTATAATGATGTTATAATACCCACTAGGATGGAGGAAAGTGTATCACTTTTGTTGAGGAAACCTGATTGCAAATTCATTATTTGAAATTTGTTCAACATTTTGGAATAAAACCTCTGAAGAGTCAAGAGAAATGACAATTTGTTACAGAAATTCATAGATACCTGGCGTGATGTCGACACCAATAAATTATACAAGGGAGACAAAATATAAACTTTTCAAATTAAAACCAATACTAGAATTCATAATAAAGTTTAAAATTTATTTATTTTACGACAATTGCGAAACAAGTTGTAATGGCCCGGATGTAAGCGCGCAAGGGGTCTTATTGTGGGAGGAAGCCAGCACTTCTTCCTACATTCTTTTTTTAGCACATATTTTTGACATAATACAACGAAACACATTAACTCCCATACACAATTCCACACAAACTCGGCATGTATGGTCCTTTTTATCATTTTGAAATTCTCTTGTATATCAATCCATAAAAACACAAAATGTACTGAAGACTGGCATCAGTGTACATCAATAATACCATTTCTTTATAAATTACAGTCCAATGATTATATAAAATAACGGACATATATCGGAATGGTCTTAAAAATCTATTGACTCTCGTATGCTGAAAGGCCGTAACAGTTAAAGTAAATCCTGTTACGTAAACAGACTCTTGTTTAATTAGGTCTCCGGTCGGCATCCTATGTACATTAATATTTCAAAAACTAAAAATTCTGAAAAGTACCTAAGAACAGATAACCTTCTAGTGTAGTAGACATATACAGAAACATTGTATCCGATTACACCTCCAACAGTAAATCATAGAGTGTCTGTTATTTGAACATATTTTGGTCCCCGTTTATGACTATTGTGTGTTTATGTTTCTCACTTTACATATATGTTTCTGATTTATAAAATGTTATTATGTCTTCTTGCGTCTACTAGTGACCTTAGGTGGAACACGCAGTTTATAGATATATTGTTTTTAGAATATTGATTTATATTGTAGATTTGTCACAGATCCAGTTTTCAAATCCCCAGCCTCTTTACACGCTCAAATTTGTACATTGTGTAACAGGGAAACAAAAACATTGGAACATATCTTTGTTTACTGCTATTACGTATGGAGGAGATCATATGAAGACTGCATTCTAAACGTGATGATAGACACCCCTATAACAACATAGGTAGATCAAAGTATGAAGAGCTAGTAAATCAATTTCTGATTTTGATATTGATGAAAACGATCATTTTTTTTTTTTTTTTTTCAAAAACTATTAAATTCACCAGGAAGAGAAAATGAATCGTGGCTAGTCTTCCATAATTAATGAGACTTTTTCTGAAAAAAAAATTCGAATAACACAGACCCTTAAGGAAAACGACAGGAAACTATATCTTTCAGTATTATAAGGTCTTCAATGAATTACACCAGGAGAGGGACACTGTAAAACTTAAACATTCTCCCTTTTTCTGATATAGCTTACGATATTTCCACTTTCAATGTCCTACCATACAACCTTCCAATCTAAAGAATGCCTGAATTCCCTGTTATGACAGTCTTCTTTACAAAGTAAGGTGAAAGGCGGAAAAGTTGTGTACTACACTTAAGACATTTTGTGAACAAAACTAACCAAAATTTTTATCTTTTCCCTGTATAGTCATGACATATCACAGTCATTTGCATCAGTGTTAAATTCCCCTTCGACACACGGCACCATCACGGCTTCAATCTGAATAAATGTTATGGCAGCCGTCATAGCAAGTCTGTGTTATCATCCTTTTAAAGCCTGTTGACGACTGAATTGATCGTGTTTTCATCTTTACTGTTTGGTTAACGACGGAATTGATCGTGTTTTCATGTTTTACTGTTTGGTTAACGACGGAATTGATCGTGTTTTCATCTTTTAATGTTTGGTTAACGACGGAATTGATCGTGTTTTCATCTTTTAATGTTTGGTTAACGACGGAATTGATCGTGTTTTCATCTTTTAATGTTTGGTTAACGACGGAATTGATCGTGTTTTCATCTTTTAATGTTTGGTTAAAAACGGAATTGATCGTAGTTTCATCTTTAATGTTTGATTAACGACGGAATTGATCGTGGTTTCATCTTTTAATGATTGGTTAACAACAGAATTGGTCGTGTTTTCATCTTTTACTGTTTGGTTAACAACGGAATTGATCGTGGTTTCATCTTTAATGTTTGATTAACGACGGAATTGATCGTGTTTTCATCTTTAATGTTTGGTTAATGACGGAATTGATCTTGTTTTCATCTTTAATGATTCATTAACGACGGAATTGATCGTGTTTTCATCTTTAATGATTGATTAACGACGGAATTGATCGTGTTTTCATCTTTAATGATTGATTAACGACGAAATTGATCGTGTTTTCATCTTTAATGATTGATTAACGACGGAATTGATCGTGCTTTCATCTTTAATGATTGATTAACGACGGAATTGATCGTGCTTTCATCTTATACTGTTTGGTTAACGATGGAATTGATCGTTTTCTTATTTTCTATTGTGTGGTTATTGACGGAATTGGCCGTATTTTTGTTTTTTACTATTTAATTATGGATGCAACCAACTTGTGTTTGGAATTAAATGCTTAAAGGCAATCGAGACTTTACTAACTTTATCGATACAAACTTATTTTTGTAAATTGCAAAATCTTAGTTCAATATCAAATTTCTCCTACTCGGCGTTGAGAAGTATTACCGACAACGTTTCATCAAATATGCTTTGATGAAGAAAGGTACTATTTTTTTTGCTCATTGGAAAGACGAGATTATGCTAGTATCTTGACCGATATTTGTTTTCCTTGTAGTTATAAGAATGAAAATGTCATCAATCCATCCCATTTATCACTGTTGGCCTTTAATTCTGTTCTGATAAGGTTTCATAACTTGATAAAAGTTTAAGTTTATTAATTGATTGCGGTTTATGTCTTATTAACAGACATGATTATGTAAGGGCCAGGTTTGGTTTAATAATCTATCATAACAACATAACGATAGATGTCATCATTTTTCGTTTCTTCGCCTCTCATTACTTCTGTAAAGGGGAGTGTCATTGCTACAAAGATTTTACAATAAACACAAATAAATAACATTTTAAAGTATGAATTTAGAATTTAAAATAGCCAATCGACGAGTTCAACTTCATCATGTTTCGCTCTTCGATGACCTGATAATCATTCTATGTAAATATTGCAACACCTAACATACAGGAAATGAGCATCATCAAAGGAAGCAATTATAGCACGTACAATTCTAGAAATAATAGCAGACACGACTGTTTGGGTGGTTCTGACTGCACTGCCAGTTCACCTGTCTTACTGGAACTATGGAGATGTAGGTTACATTTTTGTTTGTATACTATAAATATCTCGACTGATTTGTTTGAAGTTCTATATTTTAGTTTGTATACTATAAATATCTCGACTGATTTGTTTGAAGTTCTATATTTTAGTTTGTATACTATAAATATCTCGACTATATTTTAGTTTGTATACTATAAATATCTCGACTGATTTGTTTGAAGTTCTGTATTTTAGTTTGTATACTATAAATATCTCGACTGATTTGTTTGAAGTTCTATATTTTAGTTTGTATACTATAAATATCTCGACTGATTTGTTTGAAGTTCTG